CCATTAAAATTGTCAACAGCCAGAATTGTGCTCCTCTGGTCTTCATAGCAAAGGAAACAGAATCCTTTGGATTTCCCAGTCTTCTTGTCCCGCACCAGATTAATGTTAACAATCTCCCCATATCTATTTATTTTATAAAAGAGTAAGACACTATTGATTTAAAATGCAAAAACTTTCAGACTGAATGACAAAACAAAATTCAAGTAATATAATCTGTATAGGAGACACATCTAGAACAAGATAACATAAAAAGGTTAAGAATAAAAATTAGACAAGGACAGAGCAGGAACACCCAATTACAAAATGGGTGGTAATATTAAGATCAAAGATGAATTCAAGGCCAAAAAAGATATTTAAATGGGACTAAGAGAGCTCTGTTACACTGAAAAAGGTCCTAATATATTACAAAGAAATGTCATGAACCTTTATGCATAAGCTCACAAATCAAAAATTTAATTAAACTATTAAAAATACAAAGAGAAACTGGTAACAAAGGTTATGAGATATTTTAACATACCACTTAAGTTTATAACACATAAAATTGATAAAAATAAGGTCAGATGAATTAATATCAATATATAATTATATAACATAAATATAAATAAATAACAATTATGTTGTTAAGAAATATTAATGTCAAACCAGTGGATATATTTTGAATCTTACAAAAAGAGGACAATTTCTTCTTAAGAATCCATGAAATATGTATTAAAATTGACTACAAAATAAACCTCAGTAACTTCCAAAAACAGAGCAGAATATGTTCTCCAATCACAATGCTATCCAGCTGGAAATAATATTTTAAATAAAAAATACCCTACTAGCTAGAACTTGAAACCTACTCTCCTAGCTAACAACTGGATGAAAGTGAAATAAAGAAAAAAAATCAACAGATTACTTAAAAAATAACAAAAATGAGAAGAATATATACCAAAACATAATTATGGGATGCAGCTAAAACCACACAGAAAAATCTGTAACCTTAGAGAATTTTACTGTTAAAAAGGCAGAATGAATATAAAAGAAAACAAATTGAAGGAAAGCAGATGGGAGTTAATAAAGATAAAAGCAGAAATTAAGAGAAAATAGAAGAAAATTCAACCTTACTCCTTATACAAAGTTAAATTCCAGGTAAGTTAAAGATTCATAAATTAAAAAGTAAAGTCATAAAAATAAAATAGGAATTGGTGGATACTTAATAACATGATCACATACATACATTCCAGCCATATATCTAGCATCTTACCTAACAGAAAATACAGGTTTCTCCCGCTACCCGAATGTTCATTTTATGCCACTTCGTTTTTACAAAAAGACCTACATTAGTACCTGTTTTCACTAACCGAAAGAAAGCTGAAGAGGATTTTCACTCTTATGACATGGTAACTGCTTCATCACTTTATGCCGTTTTAGTTTAGAAAGCTTTCACAGAACACTCTACCTCCGGATAGCAGGGGAAACCTGTACTGGAGCTGATTCAACTAAGGTCAGGAACTATTTAACACTGTTTAACAGTGTAGGTATAGGCCAGTGCAATTAGACAGGAGAAAACAGATGTAAAAAAATGAAAAAGTAAAACTATCTCTATTTGAAGATTTATATATGATAGTATGTATAGAAAACCCAAGAGAATTAATGATAAACAATGATAAAAACAAACAGTAGGATAATTCAGTAAGGTAAGAGGATATAAAGTTAAAAAAATAAAACACTCTCTTACAAAAACAATAATCAGTTAGAAGATATAACCAAGGAGAAACCCCATTTGTATTAGCAACAAAAAACTTAAAATACTTAGAAATAAACTTAGCAACAAGCAATGTACAAAGTCTATATAGAGAAAATTTTTTAAAACTGAAAGACACACACATAGATTTGAACAAATATAAAGACATCCCTTGTTTTTGGATAGGATGACTCAACATCATAAAGACAGCAACATCTTCCCCCAAATTAATACTTAAATTTAATGTAGTACAAGTTGTGTTTTACTTTGCTGGAGCTGGATAAGTTGATTCTAAAGTTCTCATGGATAAATGAACATGTTAAGAGTAGATGGAAAAACTTTAAAAAAGAACAATGAGGGAGAGTAACTCTCCCAGATACTAAACACACTGAAAACACTGTGATTAATTAGTGTGGTACTGGCACATGAAGAGACAGACAGACCAACAGAACAGAATAGAAAGGCAAAAAAGAGACTCAAGTATATATGGAAAAATTAGTAAGATGATATGGGTGACATCCCAGTTTGCTGGGGGAAAATATGGACTTTTTTATAAATGTTGGGACAACTGGATAGCCATTGAAAAAACATGAAATTGCATCCGTGTCTCACACTATACATCAGAATAACTCTAAATGGATCAGAGATTTCAGTGCATAAAATTGAAACCATACAAGTACTAGAAGGGAACACAGATGGCTGGGTGGGGAGAAATACTATCTAATTATGACTCAAAATCCAGAAGCAACAAAAAAAGACTGATAAATCTGACCATATAAAACACTAGAGTGTGAAACTATACAGGGTCTGCACAAAGGAGTTTTTGGGGTGATGGAATTGTTCTTCATCCTAACTGTGGGGGTGACTACACAAATCTATACACACATTAAAGCTCACAGGACTGTACACTCCCTAAAAAAAGTCAATTTTACCATATAATTTAAACACATGAATGAATAAATTTTTTAAAATTTTGCACAGCAAAAAAAAAAAAAAAAACCCCACAACAAAGTCAAAAGACAAATGACAAAATAGGAGAAAATATTTACAACTCATATCACAGATAAAGGACCGGAAAGTAATTTTTTTCCTTTTTGCTATAAAGAACATCATCAGGACAACTGGTAAAGCTGAATAAAGTCTATGAATTAGATCAGTGTTAACTTCCTGAATTTAATCACCATACCGAGGTTAAACAGAGAATGTCCTTGTTTTGGGGGGAAACAAATATTGAAGAATTTAGGGATAAATGGGCATCATGCCTGCAACTGACTCTCAGATGGTTCAGAAAAAAATAATACGTATACATGGGGAGAAATGACAAAGCAAATGTAGTAGTAAAATGTGAACATCTGGGGATTCTAAGCGAAGGGGAAACAGGTATTCTTTACAGTACTTTATAACTTTCCTATTTTAAGCCTGAAATTATTTCCAAATAAAATGTAAAGAGAATATAGGAACTCATTTAAACGGGTCTGACTCCTACAGACCAAATTGGGACAATCTGAGCGTCAAGAAATAATAATGATGGCAATGTAGTAAAACACATCAAATTAAGTAAAATAAGTCCACAGTAACACAATACATGACAAAGTGGTAAAATAGAGTTGAAACCATTAAGAGCTTTTGTAAAATCACTAAGAAAATGAGGAACACATCAACAAAAGAAAACAAGCAAAGGATATGAAACTTAAAAAAAACAAGAAATAATGGCATGTAAATCTATGAAAAGATGTTCTACCTCACTGATGATTAAATAAAGGCAAAGTAAACTCATAATGAGAAACCATACAACAGATATTTTTTTAAAATAACCACTGCCAATTAGGATTCAGAAAAATGGGCATTCTAGTGAGAGTAGAAACTGATACAACCTTCTCAGAGAGCAATCTGGCCATATTTATAAAACATCTTAAAAATGCTGATCTAGTAATTTCACTAAGGAAACTATCAGGAATGCATACAAAGGATGTATATACTACAATGTATATACTAAACATGTACACACATATGCTACAATGTACATACTGTATGTATGTATACATATAGTGTGTGTGTATATACATATATATACTAAAATGCAATACAATTTATAACAGCAAATAATGCCCAACATTTAAAAAAAAAAGATGATAAAGAAATACACCAAAATGTTAACAGTTTTTCATTAAAGTACATTCTGTTTTGTTCTCTATGCTTTTCCTTTTTGCCAAATGTTCTACAGTGATTATACATTACCTTGATAATCAGAAAACAAATTTTTTTAAAACCACTGCTACCAATGGCAAAGGCAATCTTCATGGAGAGCAATGTGTACAGCCAGAAGAGAGAATGAGAATAAACACACACACTAGCTGATCATCACTCAATGCAAATAAGACAAAAACAGCCTCTAGATGGAAGGCTGGACCAGGCAGAGGTATCATAAGGGGTGGAAATTACAGGCTGCACCCTCTGTGACCTTCCAGCTCCCGAGAAGTAGGAGGAAACAGCCTCTGTCCCTCTCTGGGCACTTTGCAGTGTGGGCTGCAGAGGCCCACTCCCATGGCCTTCAATGTGTATTGCCCAATCGCTTTCCCATGGCCCTCTCCCCCATATGCTGCCCAACCACTCAGCGAGGGTCCTCCTCCCATCGGACAGCCCAACCATCCCCTGCCATGGCTGGCTGTGTTTGCTTCCCCAAACCCTTCCGCCGCGGTCCTCTGCCTGTACAGGCTGTCCAACTTCTCTGCAACAGTCCTCTGCCCTCGGGGTCCCTCTGGCCTTACAGACTGTCTAACCACGCTGTGTAGCTCTGGGTTGGGACGAGCCCCTCTCTACCAGCTGCCACAACCAGAGCAAGCTGCCAAGACGCTCTCCCACCCAATGCTGCTGCTTTCATCTCATAGTGGAATGAAGAATATATGGTTGACCTATTCATTCTTGTTCCTCAACAGCCTGTAATTCTCAGCTTCTGGGTAAAGAGACTGGCTCTGCTCAATAACCTTATGCTCATCTAGAAACAAAGAAAACAAACTACTGCCTAAACCTTTTGCTTTTTCTCCCATTCCTCTGTGCTTTGCCCTAATCCTACAACACCACACAGGTGTAAGCCACAGAAGCTCTGTGATCATGGATAACCCTTAGTTTGCAGGAGCCCAAAGAGCCCAACATGGTAGCTTCCTGTGAATTCCAGTCTGTTCTGGTGTTGGCCCAGGCTGAACAAGCCTCACTGAAGAAGCAATAAAAACAGACCAGAATCCCCAAGAGAGCCTCCTAAATCATCCAACTTCTTGGACTGTCCATATTGGAAGAGTTCTACAACCATGTCCTGGTGCTGATCTAGACTAGAGCAGAAGCTCCAACCCTCCCCATGCAGGGAGGCCAGTCAGCCTACAATAAAATAAATGGATTTTGTGATGCCATAAAATGCATTATGGAAGCATACTCTGATGACCCAGAAGGCAGGAAATGAAAAAGGACTTACTGTGAGAACACACAGATGATGTCCCCTTCAGTCAGTTCATAAGGAAGCCCTCCTAGAAGAGAAAACCACATTTCAGTTCCACAAACATTTACCAAGCGTCTACTACATACCATGCACTAGGGCCGGCACTGGGGGGTGCAAAGAAGAGTAAGCCACAGAGCCTGCCCTCAAAGAACTCACAGTCTGATGACAAAACAGAAGCATATATAAGGTGCAGCATTAGTGCAGCAAAAGGAGTGATTAACTTTATGGAAAGGTTGGTGTCCCCACTAACCAAATACTCCTCACACCCAAAATCTTATGGACAAAGCAGATAGTTTCTGGCATAAAACTCTGCTTCGACAAACATATCTTGAACTCACCTGCCCTTTACCCACAAATTCACAGCTAAGATCCAAAAATCAGTTTAAATATGAAAATATTAACCCCACCTCACATAGACTAAGGATTTTATAATCCTTAGTTGTCTTTATAGACAACTGTTCAGCACTTCATAGGAAATAAATTCCCCTGCAAATCTTTCCTTCCTCATCTGTAAAATGGGGACTTTGGTACTTACTTCACAGAATTGTAAGAATTAAATAAAACAATGGATATAAAGTGCTTAGCACAAGATAGCAGAACAAACTGTCAAATTACTGGAAGTGACAAAAGTGAATAGAGAGATGACAATATGGCCATGGGCAGAAGGCAGGAGCTAATTAGACGAGGAAAATGAATTCTGAGGGAAGGGGAAAGGGCAGGGGACTAGCAGTAATACAGGATCGTGCCTGAGACCGAGTTCTAGAATCCCATAGTTCTGGTTGTCCCACTTACTAGCTATGTGACCTTACGTAAGTCCATTAACTTCCCTGCACCTCAGTTTCCTCAGCTGTGTAATAGGGAGACGCGGTATAACAATGGTCTCTGAAACCAAGAAACCAAGTGGCAAGGCTCTTACCACAGTGAATGGCAAAGGGTAACTATCATGGACACTGGTTTGGCAGGGGGAGCAAACTAAAAATGGGAGAGAAAAGAGATACGGAAAACGGATTTACGGGGCAGCCAGCAGAAGGAAATAAAAGTGCGTGATGAATGCCGGGAGGAATGAATGGCGGGAATACTGAAAGGTTAGGAAGCAGGCCAGGAGAGGAGGAGGAGGAGCCGTGCAGGGGAAAGATGTGGACCTCACCCAGGAAGATCCAGGCGCTGTCTTTGTACTCGGAGTGCCAGGACACCTTATCTGCCACCCCAAGCTGGACCTCACGCTCATTCAGCTCGTTGATCAGCTTCACTTTAGTTAAAGGGCTGCAAAAAGGGCGGAAAAGCGGACCTTAAGTGCGGCCTGGCCAGAGTTAAGGGTGAGCAAAACTAGGGGACTAGTTTTCCAGTCTCTGCCGCCCCTCGGCCCGGCAGACGCTCTACCACCCCAGTCCTGGTGGGCCACCTCCCGCGGCCCAATCCTACTTCTTCAGAGGTAAACTGCGGCCTTACTTCATCTTCTCAGGTTCGCGCTCAGCACCGAGACACTTACTTCCGGACGAGTCTGCACCGCGCGTGCGCAGCCCCGACGCAGCGCTCCCATTGGACTCCGCGGAGCTCGCGTCGCGCCGGAAGAGCTGGGTCGCGCCGGGATGTGGCGCTTGCGCATTAGCGCAGAAAGGGACTCCTCGCCCTGCCAGTTTTCGCTCCACCAGAGCATTTTTGTCTGGGCCCTCGGTCCGTCCCTCTGTGGAACGGGGACATGGGTGTGTGCCGGGTTTATTATAGGACGCTTAGCCCCTGCACGACGCCTGGCATTGATTGGGCTAGCTATAAATGTTTGCTGAATAAAGACTGAAAAATGTGGGGCGCCTGGGTGGCTCAGTCGTTAAGCGTCTGCCTTCGGCTCAGGTCATGATCCCAGAGTCCTGGGATCGAGGCCCGCTTCGGGCTTCCTGCTCAGCGGGAAGCCTGCTTCTCCCTCTCCCACTCACCCTGCTTGTGTTCCTGCTCTTGCTATCTCTCTCTGTCAAATAAATAAATAAAATCTTTAAAAAAAAAAAAAAAGACTGGAAAATGTGCCCTGAAAATGTGCCCGTTATGGCCACTTTAGTCCCAGCCTTTGCTTGCTCTCAGTGCAAATCCCTACTGGGGCTTCATTTCCAGCCAATTGCTCATGCACACACACACCCATCAAAGCATCCCTGTTCAGGAATTACAGCAAAGTGAAGAAGATATGTGAGAGGGTAGATCTTTTTTTTCTTCCTCAAATTCAAATGCATAGGCAACTGACCAGTGTGCCTCCATAGGCTGAATTGAATACCCAGATTTGTGTTAAGAGCTGTTACCCTCACCCACCCTTTTCCATTGTCTCGCTCCTACTTAAGCAGGATGCAGAAAGAAATAGTGAAAAAGCTAATAACTGAGCAGATGCTAGGTTGTGTGCTAAGAAATTCACATGTACTGGCCCTCCATCCTCACAACCACCTCCATAGAGTCTATACATACAATTACCCTCCTCATTTTACAGAGGAAGAAACTGAGATTCAAATGAGTTAATTAGTTAATTCAAAAGAGGTACTCTGCCTCTACCTATCAGGTCTGGTTGATTTAATCAGTTCTTACTGAGCATCTATATTTGTCCTATAAGGCATGTCTGTAGACAGGAATGTAAGGTGAGGTTCTCTGCCCGAAGGAGCTAATATCATTAAGGAGACAAGATAAATTTGCTTGGTAGATTTCACTCCAGAAATAACCGGGAACCCATAGAAGAGATGGTCGCATATAATGTGTGATTTAAGCCATACTGAAGCTTTGAATCCGTCTTGCATGTGTCCTCATCAATAACTGGTATCAGACTATGCATGGTCTAAAAGTGAAGTTCCAGAGCTGTGTAGTTCTCTCTGTAAGCCTAGCTCAGAGCCCCAGAAATTAGGCACTTCACCAAGTACTTTGATGATGATGATGATGATGATGACAACTCTACCCTCAAGGACTCACCATCTACCCATGTTCTGCCAAAAAGCAGGAAACTCCCCACCAATGACAGTTTCTCTTCATTCATTCTGTGTTTGTGCCCCTCCCCCAGTCCAAACCAGCTATTCATTAACTTTGTGAAATTATCTTGGCAATGAAAACTAAACGGTGACAGATTGCATACAGGTTTTATCTGCTCCTGGGAATCTTAGGTTGCTTAGTTGTAGGGTTGAAGTAGCCACTGCAAAGTGGTAAACTAGCATGCAGCATTATCTGGCTGGATTCCTCAGGCAACTGTGAAATGAGAGAAATAGGGCTAAACCTGTGTCTTGGTCATCAGGAGTGTTCAAAAGGAAGCTGAAGTGAAAGAGGAGATTAAGACCAACCAAAGGGAAGGACAATTTAGTTGGAGGAGGGCGTGGGAAGACTGCTACTATCTAGCTAGTGGGTTCAGCAGAGATATTCTGAACCTGGGAGAACTTAAAACCATCCCAGGTTACCTGGGACATCTCCATCAACATGCTTCCAATTGGTAGGAATTGGTAGGTAAGATGATGCCTAGAGATATCCACAAGTCTAAGTGGAAAGGGGATGAGGATCAAGGGAACCCTCTGATCTTAGTATCTGAGAGGAGGACCAGGGTTTGCTATTCAAGGTGGCTACTAGTGATCTCCACCAGTAACATTGATTTAGCACCCCCTGGATGGACAGCTCAGATCTAGGTCCTCTGGGCAATGCTAAGGAAGCCAAAGGCAATCCTCACATTCAAGGCAAGGCCAAGTAATATGTCCAGCCAATTTCATCTCTTCGCTTCCCACCACACCACATCCCAAAACAGCTTTCCCTCCTGACTTCCCTATTTCAAGCAATGCTATCACCTTTTCCTGGTTGCCCAGATACAAAACAGGGGTTTCATATTTCAGTCATCCTTATTCCTCAGCCAAAGATATCTATCCAATCACTAAGTCCTAATAATTGTGCTACTGCAGTGTCTATAAAATGCATCTCATCCAGTCACAGTTCTGTTTCTTTTTTTAAAAAGATGTTATTTATTTGAGAGAGAGTGAGAGACAGAGCACGAGTGGAAGGAGAGGGGTGGAGGGAGAAGCAGGCTCCCTGCTGAGCAGGGAGCCAGACACGGGGCTCAATCCCAGGACCCCAGGATCATGACGTGAGCCAAAGGCAGATGCCTAACCGACTGAGCCACCCAGGCGCCCCAACAGTTCTGTTTCATTATCACATGCCTTCTAGTTCTTTCACTACTCGTAGAACTGCCTTGGCCCCTATTCTCCTGTCTTTCCTCCCACTGCTCCCCAACACAAAGCCTCGACTTCAGTCAGGTTTCACTTCTATCCATTTCCTCAGGGGCTCCTTTCATTTCCAACCTAGACACCCTGCTGGGAGAGCCCCACACCCCTGGACGGCTCTTCTCTCTCTGAAACCTGCCCAAGCTCCAAACCCCCATCCAGGCACCCCTTAAGCAGGAAACATTTCCTGACCTCATCAGTACACAGTGATGGTTCCCACTTCTGAACTCTGCAGCACATCATAACATTTTCATGTTATCTCCCCAGAAAGAGTGTGAGATCCTGGAAAAGAAATGTTCTTTCTTTTTAAGCCCTCAGCACCTCAAACATTTTTCTGCACACATAGCAAGTAACCAATACAACTATTGGTTAATGAAATTGAAAACACGCAGAGCTATGGTTACCTTTGGGGAAGCAGATGAGGAAAGGAGGAGAGAGGCTTTTAGTTACCCTTTGTTTCTTTCTATACTGTTAGAATTTTCTTCCCTTTATCCAGATTATCACTTACATTTTTTATTTTTATTTTTTAAAAGATTACCCTTAGCCACTATGCACAGGCTAAGTGGGGTAAGAGGAACAGATCAGGCAGGGACATGTTGGGTATCAACTTTAGATTTGACTCAGTGTGAGGTGAGAAGCCAACAAAGGATTCTGATCTGGCTTACAATTTAGCAAGATGACCTTGGCTGCAAACTGTGGGTTGGAGAGAGTGCCTAAGGTAGAGTCAGGGAGACTAGGAAGCTTTGCAATAATTCAGGCAAGAGATGATGGTGGTTTGCCTCAGGGAGCAGCTAAGGAGAGGGTGGCCCATGTTGGTATTTTTTAAACTAAAAAATATATTTAAAAAAATAAAGAACACACATGACATCAACAGAAAGGTATATTATGTTTATGAGTGCTCGGGTGCTGGGCTAGATGCTGAGGATACTACAGTAAACAAGATCACAAGACCCAGTCCCTGCCCTTGAACAGCTCACAAAGTTGCCAGACAGTTGTATATGTGAATAAACATAATACAAAGAGATGAGGGTCAAAATGAAGGTGTGAGTGAAATGTCACTGGAACCAGTTGAGGAATCAATTAATTCTGACTACTGGGGGTCAGAGGGAGGTGGGGGTGGAAAGCAGAGTGTCAGGGAAAGCTACAGTGCAGCAGGGGACAGTTGAAAAGCAGGGAGGAGGACTGGGGTGGGAGAAAACAGTTGGATTTGGTTGGCAAATTGTTGAGTTTAAAGCACCCAAGGAGCCAACAAAGGAGACCAAGGAGGAGGAGGACAGATGAAGATGAAGCAGCAGGAGAAAGTAGGATTCAAGAAGAGAGCAAAAGGGCCGCCCGGGTGGCTCAGTCCTTAAGCGTCTGCCTTCGCCTCAGGTCATGATCCCAGGGTCCTGGGATCGAGCCCCGCATCCTGCTCGGCGGGAAGCCTGCTTCTCCCTCTCCCACTCCCCCTGCTTGGGTTCCCTCTCTCGCTGTGTCTCTCTCTGTCAAATAAATAAATAAAATCTTAAAAAAAAAAAAAGAAGAGAGCAAAAGGTCATCAGTGCTATCAAACACCACATAAAAGTTCTCGTGGTAGAAGCACCTCTAAGTTTTCAGTGTTTCTGCCTACTTATTTCAATTGGTCCAAAACAATGTCTGGTCCTTAATTATAGGTTGTCCGGAGGAATAGAGAATAAGAAATGATGGGTTGTGTTAATAGCATCTTACCATCTCTTCTGGGGATATTAACCTGAATCCATACCTGGGCTTCAGTGAGTCTATAAGGTCCCTGCTTTGTTGGTATGATGTCTATGTTACATGAACATGTGCATTTTTAAGGAGAAGGTCCATAGCTTCTAACAGATTCCAAAATGGTTCCATGGTTGGGAAAATAATACCCAAGGACCACTGCCTTAGAGCATCTAAGCATTATCTGTGAATATCGTCATGTGCAGATAATTCAGAGCACTTTGCAAAGCTTAGCAAGAACTGTTGCAGGAGAACTGGCATGAGCTATGTGAGTCAGATATTGACCAATTGGAAGCACACCACACCCCCACTGGCTCCCCCAAGGCTCAGCACAGCTGCTTGCTGCCAACAATCTGACTCTTAGGTATAATCTTGAGGAGCTGGACAGAGAATCCCAAAATCTTGAGGAAGAGGAGACCAAGTCACTTCCAGGGGTGAACATGCCTTCTAGAAGATACACGGCAGATGTCCTTTTATCACCTGCTTGTCGTTGTTCAACTTTTCTCCAGGCCAAAGCAGTAGCTTTCCAAACCTCAAGCAACACAAATTTCAGAAGTGGCTAAGAATTCTGACGAACTGACTTTAAAAACAGAATCTGGTTTCTAAAGAAGAAATTGCTGGGGCAGTAGATGGCTCTGATTCAAGTGGAGCCCACCTGTAATCACAAATTTTCTCTCAATTCATGATGTGAAGTCCCCATTGGCATACAGGCCGAAGGACCATGCGAGCAGAATTGAACTGAATGGGATCATCGGATCAGGTGGGATGAGAAGTAGAGGTGGGCCAATTGGACTGGAGCTGAATAGAAAAGTATTTTTGAGGGATGGCAGGAGCCTGCCTAGAGCAGGAGTTCCTAAAAGGTCTTGGCACTGAAGCAGGTCAATCTCCAAGCCAATGACTAGTGAGTGCCCTACCCTCTAGTCTTCAAAATATTCCTTGCATTACCAGCTTTTATCGCCCTCTCCGTGATTCTCACTGTTTTGAGCCAGACTTCTTCTAGGGTGTTCTGTTGCTGAGCCACATCATCGGATAACATACTGAGACCAAGGGGAAAGAAGCCAGTTAGCAGGGGTGCCAGGTGAAACACTGATCCAGAGGGTAGGAGACAGTCTGTATATTAGGAAAAGGGGTAGGCGGCCACGTGGCAGAGAAGCCAGACAACTGAGACACATGCTTGTAGAGACTAGAGCAGATGGGTGATCAGAGGGACAAACTGAGAAGCAGGCAAAGCCCTCAGAGATGAGACATGGGACAGGCCTGTGTCTTGGCTCAAAGCCCAGTGACATTGCAGGCAGGCTGGCTGCATTCCTCTTCTGCACGGTGGACGCTGGCATCTGTCACGAGGCTGGGCACAAGCTTTCAAAGCCAAAGGGTGATGCCACACGGCTTTCACTCTGCCTCTGGTCAGGAAATTACACTTCTGTAACAACATTGCAATTCTGGAGAGACCGGCTGGCATAGTTAGATGAATATAGACTCCGAGACTCGGCAGGCCTGGATTCAAATCCCAGTTCTAGCACATGCTAGCCGTGAAACTTCGGGGGATTTAATTAGCTTCGATTAACTTCTATGTGCATTGGTGATAATATCACCTCATGAGCATATTGTGAGGATTAAATGAGTTCATGCATGGAAAGTGTGTGTGATAAGAGGTATTATTAATATTAATAATAATCTTATTCTCAGATTCCAAATACCTCCGGCCATTGTTACAATCCCTCCCCCCCTTCTGCAACCCCCAAATCTTACCCCCAGATCTTCCTCGGGAGGAAGCTGGAAATGGCCGTCTGAGAGCCGGAGGGCTGCAATATAAAACTAGGCTAGAATGGCCCCTTGAGTGCAATCTTTCTTGAAAAATACCCTGAATAGCCTTCAAGAAAGACTTTCAATGAAAAAAAGCAAGAAATGTTAATTGAATGTATACTTTCTCCCCCTCACCCCACCCCCACTGCACAAGCCATGGGAATGAACCAAAAGTATTTGTACCTCATTACCCAACTCCTAACCTGCAGGAGAGGGAAGGCTTCCATGCTCTAGTCCCAACAATAAAAATAAATAAAAGGAGCAAGAAACTTCTGAGCCCTGGGTGGCAAATGAAAACATCTCTGTACTCGCCGTGCCCCTCTGGCCTGCATGAAGGCATAGCTAAGATGCAAAACAATCAGAGCAACCCAGAAGTGCCTAGAAGGATCTTTCTTCCTTTTAAAGACCCCTCCTATGTATATAGCTAGATGGGAGCAAAGCTTTCCAAGGATCGCTTTCTTCCTGCAGAGTGCCTGCCCTCTGCTGGGCTTCATGGTCATTGGCATTTGGCACCTCAGTCCAGCAAGCTGCTCTTTCCTGGTAAGTAGAAACAATATAACCAAAACCCAGTTTTTGAACTGTCTCCTCATATTAACCCTTTAGTTCAATGTATGAGTTTCCTATTGCCGATGTAATAAATCACCACAAACCTACTGCCTAAAAAACATGAATTTATTACCTTACAGTTCTTGAGGTCAGGAGTCCGAAATCGGTTTCACGTCAAAGCATCAGCAGGGGGGCACCTGAGTGGCTCAGTGGGTTAAGCGTCTGCCTTTGCTCCAGGTCATGATCCCAGGGTCCTGGGATTGAACCTCTTGTGTCGGGCTCCTTGCTCAGCGGGGAGCCTGCTTCTCCTCCCCCTGCCTGCCACTCCCCCTGTCTGTGCACTCTCTCTCTCTGTGTGTCAAGTAAATAAATAGAATCTTAGGGGCACCTGGGTGGCTCAGATGGTTAAGCGTCTGCCTTTGGCTTGGGTCATGATCCCAGGGTCCTGGGATCGAGCCCCACATCAGGCTCCTGGCTCAGCGGGGAGCCTGCTTCTCCCTCTCCCTCTGCCTCTCTCCCTGCTCATGCTCTCTCTCTCTCTCTCTCTCTCTCTCTGTATCTCTGTGTCTCAAATAAATAAATAAAAAAAAATCTTTAAATAAAATCTTAAAAAAAAAAGCATCAGCAGGCCCGGTTCCTTCTGGAGACTCTAGGGGAGACTCTGTCCCCTTGCCTTCTCCAGCTTCTAGAGGCCTCTCACAATTTTTGGCTTGTGACCCCTTTCTGGCATCACTCCAATCTCTTGCTTCCATCTTCCCCAATATTACTCACTGATCTCCTGCCTTCTTCTTATAAGGACCCTTGGGATTATATCATTGGGCCCACCCAGAAACTCAGGATAATCACCCCATCTCAAGATCCTTACTTAATCACACCAGCAAGTCCCTTTTGCCATGTAAGGCAAGATATTCACAGGTTCCAGGGACTCGGACACAGACATCTTTGGGGGTCATTCTTCAGCCTACCACACCCAGGCTTCTGCAGCTTGGAGGAGCAAAAAGCTAGTGGACAAAGAGTGATGAGAACTGGATGCCGCTCCCAGCTCTGCAGCCACTTCCTGGCTGGGTAACCTCAGGCAGGTCCCTTGGCCTTTCCAAGCCCCAGCTTCTTCAGTTGTAAGCTGGGGAGAATAATACCACCTAGCTCACAAGGTGTCAGACACTTGAATGTATGAAAAGCTCTAAGCATAGTAGTGAGCACAGAGCAGGCACTCCATAAACACACTGGAAGGGGAAGTCAACATGGGGAAAGACAGGACGAGCATTTAGAAGGCTACGACCACAACGCAGATGAAAGATAATAAAGTACTAGGGGCACCTGGGTGGCTCAGTGGGTTAAGCGTCTGCCTTTGGCTCAGGTCATGATCACAGGGTCCTGGGATGGAGCCCCGCATCAGGCTCCCTGCTCAGCAGAGAACATGCTTCTTCCTCTCCCTCTGCCCCTCCCCCCACTCATGCTTGCACGCTCTCTCTCTCTCAAATAAATAAATAAAATCTTTTTAAAAAAGAAAGACAATAAAGTGCTAAATGAGAGAGGCACTAGCCAGAATGGAAAGCAGGAGTGGGAAGATAAATGGAGAGGTATAAGTGAGTCCAGAATCCTATATTTCCTTGGGCTCAGGGTAAAAAATAATCCTCATTTTCCACAATCACTGGGCTTTAGTGACCAAAAAAGAGGGGAGGGTCTTCTACTTAAGTTCAGCTCAAGCACCCATGAGAAAACCCAAAGCATAGACGTGTCAGCTTGAAGGCCAGAAGTCGTAGGATGGGCAAAGGCACAGAGGCACAAACTGGAAGGAAAGGGGACAACGTGTAGTCTCTATTGTTGATAAGAGCCAAGACAAACTCTCAGTGGCTGTTCCACACAGGTTTCCAACCTGACTGTTTCCACCACCTGCTGCTTATGAGCTATGTGGCCTTGGGCAAATAAGTCAGCCTCTGCATGACTGGGTTTTCCCATCTGTAAAATTGAGGTATTACTAGTGCCTACCTTATAGAATTTTTGTGTTGATAAAAGAAGATGCTGTATATTTAGCACAGTACTCGGCATTTAAAGGCCCCATAAGGGATACCTGGGTGGCTACCTGGGTGGCTCAGTCGGTTGAACGTCCGACTCTTGATTTCGGCTCTGGTCATGATCTCAGGGTCATGGGATCGAGCCCTGCATTGGGCTCCACGCTGGGTGCAGAGTCTGCTTGTCCTTGTCCCTCTGCTTCTCCCCCTGCTCTCTCTCTCTCTCTCTCTCTCGTAAATAAATAAATAAAATCTTAAAAAGAAAAATAAAGGTCCGGGGCACCTGGGTGGCTCAGTTGGTTAAGTATCTCTCTGCCTTCAGCTCAGGTCATGATCCCAGGATCATGCTCAGCGGGGAGCCTGCTTCTCCCTCTGCTCCTCCCCCTGCTCATGCTTTCTCTGTCTCTCTCTCAAATAAATAAGAAAAATATTTTTAAAAAATAAAAAATAAAGGTCCCATAAATGTTAGCTTGTATCACTGCTACAAGGAGGCTCAGAAGCCCCAGAAACCTAGGGCAGTTTCCTTAAAGTGCCTCCCACCCCACGAAGAGACTAAAACCTCAGATACTGATTGATTTCTCCCCTGTTTTGCCCTGCCACTTCTCCCAATCCACACACACACCTCCTTCTACAACTACAGCACAGGCAGGTAACAACAATATGAGCAAAACAAATACATTACTATATATATTCATATATAAAATGTGTGTGTGTGCCACATACATTTTTGTGTGGTCTGCAAAGGGCCTTGGCAAAGTGGTGCTTGAGCTGGAATGGGGAGGGGTTTGAGGGGTTTTTTCCTTCTGGGATATTATATGAATACATCCTTGCTGTGAAAGTATATAAAAAGTCAGAAGTAGTCAAAGTAAATTGTGACAGTTACTCTCCTCAGTTATTCTCTGCTAACATGCATTTATTGTGATTTCCATGCATTTTTCACGTACACAAAGCTGGGGTTTGGGGCTTTATTTTCCTAAGTGGGTCCAGACTCTACATACTGATGTGTGACTTGATTTATCAATCAACAATATGCCTTGGAGGTCTGTGTCAGGACATATAAACCTATCCCATTCTTTTAATACCACTGCATAATATCTAATAGCAATGGAGGTACCAGTCTAGTCATTCACGAAGAGATATTAAATGTCACTGCTGCCTTTGTCCTTGGGCAAGATGCAGCTAAACTACAGAAGCAGATGGCTGGTCTAGACACCACAAGGAATCAGGCATGACTTGTCTTGGATAGCTTCCTAGAGCTCCTCTCCCAGAGGCCCCACTCTGAAGGTGGTCTCTACTGAAGCCTGGCTTTTCCTCCACTCCCATTCCAGGTGAAGCCTCTGGTCCTCGGTCCCATGCCCTCAGGGTGGACAAAGCACCCTATTGCATCCTTGGTGACAACCTGCTATGACCAGCATTTAATGCATTGGTTACAGGATAGTTTGACCAGAGAATAAGCCTTCTCATCCTTTACCTTCCTCCCCTTTGTCAACCCCAGCTTGTTTACCTTGTCAGTGCTCCACTCTAGAGACTCTGAGAACCCTCAGCCTCGGGATCGTGAGGACCAACCACCGACCTTCCAGGAAGGAACCATGTTCTCTGTGGTTTTGATCCCCCAGCCTGGGCACAGCCATAGGACATACAGCTGGGTCCATGTGGTAGTGTGAGAAAGGGGACAGAAAAGCCCAAGGAGGACACAGAGGTGGGGATAGCTAAGAAGGAAGCGAGGGGGCTAAGGGAGGGAAAAGACTACCAGGGGCCCATCAAATACAGGTTGTATAGAGACTGAAAGCCAACTCAATGGGAATAACAATGTTTTGCAGATGTTTTGCACTGCCGCAGGAATTCCCTCTAAGGCCCTCCCGACAGGTGAGCATTCAGGTTCTGCTTGCATACTTCCAATGACAGGGAGTTCACTATTTTCCAAAGCTGCTGAGATTAGTTTAAATCAGCTTGTGGATGCCTGAGAGGACAAGACAGAAAACAAGAGAGTGTTGATGGCTAAAAGAAATAAATGCCTAGGACACGAGCAAAGGAAGATTACACTGCGAAGAGCATCTTTCGGGGATGGAGGGAGAAGACGTGAGCAGCAGAGAAGACTGGTGTGGTAGGCAGAAAAATGCCCCCCCGCCAAAGATGTGCATGTCCTAATCCCCAGAACCTGTGAATATTTTTTTTTTTACCTTACCCAGCAAAAGTCACTTTGCAAATGTGATTGAGTTAAGGATCTTGACATGTGGAGGATATCATGGATTATCCAGGTAGACTCAATATAATCAAAAGGGTCCTTAAAAGAGGGAGGCAGGAGGGTCAGAGTCGGAGAAGATGTGACTATGGAAACAGAGGTTGGAGTGATGTGCCATGAGCCAAGGCATGCAGGCAGCCTCTAAAAGCTGAAAAAGGTGGGGCGCCTGGGTGGCTCAGTCGTTAAGCATCTGCCTTCGGCTCAGGTCATGATCCCAGGGTCCTGGGATCGAGCCTTGCATCGGGCTCCCTGCTCAGCGGGAAGTCTGCTTCTCCCTCTCCCACTCCCCCGGCTTGTGTTCCTGCTCTCGCTGTGTCTCTCTCTGTCAAATAAATAAATAAAATCTTTAAAAAAATAAAAGCTGAAAAAGGCAAGGAAACTGTTCTCCCCTGGAGCCTCCCAAAGGAATCCAGCCCTGCCAGCACCTTGATTTGAGTCCTGTAAGACCTGTTTTGGACTTCTGACCTCGAGAATGGTAAGATAGTACATTTATACCCAACCTAAGTTTGTGGCGGTTTGTTACAGCAGCAAAAGTTAACTAATATAACCAGGCACCTGAGAGTGGGAGGGAAGAAAGGACAACTTGAATGTGCATACAGATCACCTGGGGATCTTGCTCCAAGGCAGACTCGGCTTCGGTAGGTCTTGGGCAGGGCTTAAGAATCTGCATTTCTCCCAAGCTCACAGGTCATACCAATGCTCCTGATCTGAAACACACCTTGATTAACAAGAGACTAGAAGGCACTCCATAAAAATACCTGTGTAACATTTTACAGTTCATTAAGCCTTTTAATATCCATCATACCTCAGGGGCACCCGGCTGGCTCAGTCCATGGAGCATGTGACTTGGTCTCAGGGTCATGAGTTCAAGCCCCACGTTGAGTATTGAGATTACTTACAAATTACCCATCATAGACTCTGAAAAACAAACTGAGGGTTCTAGAGGGGAGGGCGGTGGGGGGATGGGTTAGCCTGGTGATGGGTATTAAAGAGGGCATGTTCTGCGTGGAGCACTGGATGTTATGCACAAACAATGAATCATGGAACACTACATCAAGAACTAATGATGTAATGTATGGTGATTAACATAACAAAAATTTAAAAAATAAATAAGCCCCCAAAAAATCCATCATACCTCATTTTGTCACCCCCGCAACCCTGTGACATCAAAATTATTGTCCCCATGTTACCACATGAGGAAGCCAGAGCTAAGTCAGAGAGGTGAAGTCATTTGTCCAAGTAAAATACCAGAATCTCTTAGTGTACAACCCAAACATCCGTATTTTTGGAACCCCCAAGTAATTCCACAGCACAGCTAAGGTTAAGAAACATTTCACTAGAGTAGTGGTTCTCAAATGGGGTCCCCGAGTCAGCATCAGCATCACCTGGGAACTTGTTAGAAATGCAGATTCTCAGGCCCATCCCAGCCATAAAGAATCCAAAACTCCGAGTGAGGCCCAAGAATCTGGGCACAAACACGCACATCCCCCTTCAGGGGATTCTGGGGCACTCTCCAGTTTGAGCATGGGCTTCAAAAGGACCATTTTGACACCATGCATGTACTCAAGAGCTAGGGAAACAAGAGCACAACCTTCAATCCAGGCATAAAATCAGGCCAGGTACCAAGCAACTGAAGTCAGCTTCCTAGCGGGGGTACGAAAGAATAAGAATAAGAACTGTTCTCAGACTGGCAACTGGGGTACCGAGCCCCCATGCCATGGCCCTTCTGCTCCTTGTAGAAGAGACATCTGTCAGAGGCCCTCTCAGGCTGTCAAAACATCCTGGAATATAATATTTGCCTCCAACCCTGTACCTTGCTCTCTGCTCCCTCACTTAAAACACTAACCTTGCCCATTTGTGCTCTCACCTGAACTGAGTAAATACACTTCAAACCACTCTTCTCCCCACCCCTCTCTTCTTGGTATCCGAGAGTAGCAGGCAAAAGGTTAGTTCTAATGTACCCGAACAAATGGATATACGACCTAAAATAGGAGTGACCAACACAGCTGCCTTGCTTGAGCGCATCTCCCTTACCTCAGCAACACTGTCACCCTTCAGCCTAATGCTATTCCACAATGGAAAATGGAAAATTCCACAACCAAACATGAGAACAGATACTTTCCAGAATGCAGCCCACCTCCTCTTCTCATGTCTCAAACCCTGGGTCTACAGGATCAAGAAGGGCAAGGTTGGCAGCCACTACTTACGATCAGAGACATGTTGAGTATACCCAACAGACAGCAGCTTTAAAAAAAAAGATTTTATTTATTTATTTGTCAGAGAGAGAGCACACAAGCAGGGGTAGCTGCAGGCAGAGGGAGAAGCAGGCTCCCCGCTGAGCAGAGAGCCCGATGTGGGACTTGATCCCGGGACCCAGGGATCATGACCTGAGCCAAAGGCAGATGCTTAACTGAACGAGCCACCCAGGTGTCCCCAGACAGCAGCTTTAGACAGGGAGTGGGCTCTCTTCTAAACAGAATAACAACCATTAACAATTCTCTCCTTTCATTTTCCTGCCCTTCTGAATCAGCTGAGTTATGAGGGATGAGAATGAGGGGAACAGCACACCCTATTTGAGAGAATTAGAATCCGAGGTGTTAGGAAACAAAAGATAAAAAAAAAAAAAAAAACAGCTTAAATGTGTGGTGATTCCCCTTAAGGTATGCTGGGCCCTGAAATTGCCTGCCTGCCCTCACTTCCCACTTCAACTGATTATGATCATCCTGCTGGATTGAAGGCAGTAATAGTAGCGACTGAGAATTCATTAGTAAGTAAATGCTTCATTAAGCCAAGATCAGCTGTTAAGCTAGTCCTTGAGGCTTAGGAAAAGAAGTGGAAGTTTAATATCAAGCTGTGGAGGAAGAAAAAGTGTGATTAGAGTCAAATCTATCTGCTGCCAGACAGGAAACCCGATGAATGCCCCAGTCCCTCCAGAGAAAGTCCTTGAAGCACCCATGAAGGAAGAAAGCCTGGGGAGACAGAGTGCACCAGGTACTCGGGAGTTGTCTAGCAACTGGAGTGTTGGAGGGGGAGGGCCTAGCTCGGGGCCCAGGGGGAGGTCCAAACTGGGACTGCCGCCTTCAGAGAGCAGGAGAGGCAAGAGGCTGAGGACTGAGCAAGAGCGGGAGATTCGTGGGGACCGGCAAGATCTCCAGATGGCAAGCTGCCGGCCTGTACTGCCAGTGGCGGCCAGAGCTGTGTTGCGGCTCTGAACTCCGCTCTTTCTCCCCCAGCCCATGACCATTTGAGCTGGAGAGCCGGCATGCCCCGGTAAGTGGAAATCCTGCCACTTCAAGACATGGAGTCATCTTTCCCATTTGGAGCCATCCTTGCTGTCCTGGCCTCCCTCATTATTGCTGTTAATGTGCTAGTGGCCGTGGCTGTGCTGTTGTTGATCCACAAGAATGATGGTGTCGGTCTCTGCTTCACCTTGAACCTGGCTGTGGCTGACACCTTGCTTGGTGTGGCCATCTCTGGCCTAGTCACAGACCAGCTCTCCAGCCCGGCTCGGCCCACACAGAAGACCCTGTGCAGCCTTCGGATGGCATTTGTTACTTCTTCCGCCGCTGCCTCTGTCCTCACGGTCATGCTGATTGCCTTTGACAGGTACCTTGCCATCAGGCAACCCCTCCGCTACTTCCAGATCATGAATGGGCTCATGGCTGGGGCCTGCATTGCCGGGCTGTGGTTGGTGTCTTACCTCATTGGCTTCCTCCCACTTGGAGTCCCCATATTCCAGCAGACTACCTACCACGGTACCTGCAGCTTCTTCGCTGTGTTTCACCCACGCTTTGTGCTGACCCTCTCCTGCGTTGGCTTCTTCCCAGCCCTGCTCCTCTTTGTCTTCTTCTACTGCGACATGCTCAAGATTGCCTCCATGCACAGCCAGCAGATCCGAAAGATGGAACAAGCAGGAGCCATGACCGGGGCATACCGGTCTCCACGGACTCCCAGCGACTTCAAGGCTGTCCGCACTGTGGCTGTTCTCATTGGGAGCTTCACTCTGTCCTGGACCCCCTTCCTTATCACTGGCATTGTGCAGGTGGCCTGCCAGAAGTGCTACCTCTACCTGGTGCTGGAACGGTACCTGTGGCTGCTCGGTGTGGGCAACTCCCTGCTCAACCCACTCATCTATGCCTATTGGCAGAAGGAGGTGCGGCAGCAGCTCTACCAGATGGCCCTGGGAGTGAAGAAGGGGCTCACCTCGTGCCTCCTCCTTCTCTCAGCCCGGGAGAGGGGCCCCTCAGAGGGGCCCAGGGAAAATTCCTATCCTATTGCCATTATCTCCCACTCACATCTTGATGGCTAAGACGGTAAGGGCAGAGACGTTTCAAAGTGTCTTCTCCCTCCCCTCTCTGGGCCCCAACTAGGAAATCAGATGGAGCTAGGGGAATGAGAGTCCTTGATTCAGGCAGCTGACCACCCCTCACCTCAGACTGAGAGGAACTGAGGTAGGGTGCTGACTTTCTTCTATAATCCATTTCCTTCTCTGCAAAGCTCCATTCCTCCCTATCTTTCTTTTGCAATGAGTCTGTTTCTCCTGTACAGGTATACTTTCCTAAGGAAATGTACTACTGAAATGATCATAAAAAATCAAATCCTATTTTTGAATGCCCTACAGCAGCACTATCCGACAGAAATATCACGCAAGTCACATATAATTTTAAATGTTCTAGTAACCACATTAAAAAGGTAAAGAAAAAGAGCCAGGCAAAATTTGTTACTGTTTCATTTAACCCAACATATCTAAAACATTCTTTCAATATGTAATCGATATAAAAATTACTGCGCTGTGTTTTTCATGCTAAATCTCTGAATCTGGTGTGTATTTTACCTTTACAGAACGTCTCCATCCAAACTAGCCTGATTTCTAACGCTTAGTAGCCACATACGGCTAAGTAGCTACTATATCGGACAGCACAGTACTAGAGAAATGAGGTGGTTCCTTGTAACTGTTGACTAGTGACTGGCTATAATAAAGTGAGGAGTCCTGCCCTCCCTGATGTAAATCAGACTTTTTAGGCAGTGAGTTTGCCTAAAATGTAGGGACCTGAATTAGATTCTACAGCTTGTCTTCTTTTACATTTCATGGTGTTCAAAACACTGTTTCTTTGGAAATAGCGAATCTTATGGTTATTTCTGCTACTACCCCTCCCAATCCACCACTTTTCTAACTAACTCTGTGGTGCCCTTTCCCCTCAGTTGGCTTCTTATGTCACGTGTAGCTACTTGCTGATAACAATGCTGAACCACCAATTCTGAGACACTGGAAAGGGAAGGAAGAGGAAAAAGGGGTAGGTACCAAGAAAGGCACTGCCAAGCTCTCCACACTGGACCCACTTTTTCCCTTTGAGCTTGACCTTCTTAAATCCGCATTTTCCTAAGAAACTCAGTGGCATAAGAGGATGCCTCTGACATGTCCCAGGAGACCAGCTGAGGAAGCGGTGTCTCCTCCTGCTTTCTGTGGGTACAGAAAATGGCTGTTGGCAGCCAGGAATTGTGGCCAGGCTCCCTCAGGGCACCCCTGGCAGCAGAAATTCAAGAACTGAGTGGGGAAGAAACCCGGGAAATATGCTCAATCTTCCTGAGCTTCCCTGTAATCCCTTCCTCAATCTCCTGGGCTCCACAGTGGATTGCAGGAAAGTTTGCCTCTTAAGGCCCTCAACTAGATTATCTCCCTAGAAAGCTGCTGAGTGGACAACCAAAGAAGGCAAGAAGAAACCAATACAGATGGATTAAATTTGTCTGGGATTTGGTGCCAAAACAACCTTGGAAGGTTAACCCCTTGACATGTCTAAATTGATGGCCTGAGGATGCATGTGAATCCCATGTGTAAAGGCTAATGCCAAGAGGCCCATGAAATTTTTCATTCAAATCTGAAACTATAATGTTCGGAACCAGGAGGGAATCTGGCCATCCTCCTCTCCACAGGATGGCACCACACCATGATGTTTTGCACTTGGGTTTTAATTCCCCTTCAGTCTTAGATTAATGCCCCGCTGGCTTCCCTCAGTTGTTTGGAGGTTAATGATCGTCCCTTTCCATTTCCATACTCTGGAAAATTCCCTTCTATTTTCACCCTCTTCCTTCAGCACAAATGGTCTGTTGCTCACTGATCTATTCTAATACACACCAACCCTCCTTTGGTAGACTTTTTTTTTGCAGTTGCTTTGCTTGCCACTCTGGCCCAGAGGAGGACCGTGTGTGCCTTCACCGCAGCAGGCTTTATGTTCCTACAACTGAAGAACTTTTTGGCTTTCAAGTGGATGATGGAACCCAATGTGCTTTGAAGTGCTGAGCGCCCAGCAAGTACCACTTATGCTACCAATAAGGCACCCTCTTGGACTGGGTTAGGAGTTACTGGGAACTATGTAAAACACAAACAGTAACTGGGTTTGGGGACAAGATGGGAATCTGGCTCAAATCCATGCCCTCTTTATTGGTGGTTCAAAGCTTAATTTCCTGGCCTTGCTGCAAAGGACTGATCCTGCCAAGGTAACACCAGCAAAGTGGAATGGAAATTAGTCAGTTACAGGAGAAAGGCAGGAGCTGAGGGGAAGCTAAGTGACTGCTGTGTTGTTAGGTTCCGTGTAAGAAACCTTGCTATCCCTGAGAGGCAGTATGTTGAGTAGAAAAATCACAGGCTTTGAAGTCCGATAGACCAGTGTTCAAATTATGATTCATTTGTTTAAACTGTCAAAGCTACAGTTTCCTCATTTGTAAAACTGGGGTAATAATGCCTACCTTATATGATTATAGAGAAGATTAGCTCAGATAATGTATGGGAAAATGCCTAGTAAACTACAGCAGATGGTTAGTACTCAGAAAATGTTCTCTTCCTCATCCTTAAAAATCCTGAATAAAATATTCAGCTGACCAATTTAGGGAGTCTGTCATATCTGTAGATATTATGGCCTCCAGGACAAGGACAATTAGGCTCCAAACTGTGAATTCCTCAACCCCTGAATGTTTTTGAAAATGAGTGATGAGAGAGGACTCAGGTTGAAAAAGACAAACAGTAAATCTAATAGCAGGATCAAGAGACAGCAGATACAAACAAGGTACACTTGGGTTTAAGAGTAACTGCAATTATGGACACGGCATCTAATAAGCCACCAAGAGCAGAGATACAGAATGCTATGCAAAAGTCTAATGGCTCTTTGATGTAGGCTCCAGCACAGGTAAGGGAATGCACTGGAGAGGAAACATTTAGATTTCATTCATACATCCGATGCTGTCTCCTGGTGGACTTGCAAAGAAACCAGATCCTGTTCAGCAATTTGATCAAAATAGCCAAAAGATATTATGACCTTGTAGGACAGAATGTAGGTCAATCGGTTCCATTTATAATTACCATAAAGAGCTTGTGAATTTGTTATAAAAAATGTGACATGACTAAGTTTTCTACTACTTCTTTGGGTAGCTAACATTATGCATAGCACACCTGTTTCAGAGGACTACTCTCAAGAACATAAGAACACACAACCCTCTGTCTGGGGGCATTTTGAGTGGTCTCACAAGTGTTAGAGGCAGGTTGCCCTGATCTACCAAACTCTCCTGCTTGTCTAATAAGCCCATCTCTGAGAGTTGGCCAGCCAGAGTTAGCCTTGGGGTATCTTCTCCCCATATGGAAAAGCATTTACTGATTCAAATGGAAAATGAACTCGTGACTTTGATTTCATTCACACTTGCTCAATCAATGGCCAAACTGAATAGAGACCAGTGAAAATAGCAAGCACAAAATATATTTCAAGGACACACAGAGAACAAGAAGAAACATGGTGTTGATAGCTGGGCAACAAGAGCAGCAATGGACCCAAGGCCAGACCACAACTCCTTCGCTGCCATCAGCCACTCATTTTGTGACTCCTTCAGTACCTCCCATGCCATCCTTCAAACTGCTGGCTGGTCTGGAATCTTCTCCTTTTAATTAACAAATCATTTGTTATTTCTGCAGTCATATAAACCTGATAATGGTACCTACAAGTGTCAACTGTTATTCATTCATTCATCTGTCCATCTATCTATCTACTTACTCCACAAACATTTTTTGAGAGCTAGGTGCTAAAATTGCCCCAGCTTTGCTGGGATTTCTTTCAGAAATATATAATGATGTATATATGAGGTTCATTATTCTTTTCTGATTATAAAAATAATCTTTGTTCATTTCAGAAATTTTTAAAAATACAGAAAATCATAAAGGTCCCTGTAATTGTACCATCCAGAGATGATCACTGTTATTCTCCATGTGTTTTCTTCACTTAACATTATACTGTGCATATTTTCCTATGTAATTAACTTTTCTTCAAAAACATGACTTGTGGGACCCCTGGGCGGTGCAGTTGGTTAAGCATCCAACTCCTGGTTTCGGCTCAGGTCGTGCTCTCAGAGTCCTGAGATTGAGCCCCATGTCCCTCTCTGAGCTCAGAGAGGAGTCTGCTGGAGTTTCTCTCTCCCTCTGCCCCTCCCTGTGCTCGCTTGCTCTCTCTAAAATAAATAAATAAATAAATTTTTAAAAACCATGACTGGTAATGGTTACATGTTATTTCAACATGAGTATATAATATTCTAACCATTTCCCTATAGTTGTACATTTGTTATTTCCAATATCTCCCTGTTATAATACCACTATAAATACCTTTGTGTACAAATCTTTGACACATCTGTTTAATTCCTTAGGATAAATTCTACAAAGAAGTATTACCAGGTCAAGGAGCATTAAACATATATAAGAATTTTGATTCATATTTTTGCTGGCATTTCTTTTTTTTTTAAAGATTTTATTTATTATTCATGAGAGACAGAGAGAGAGAGAGAGAGAGAGGCAGAGGGAGAAGCAGGCTCCCAAGGAGCAGGGAGCCCGATGCAGGACCCGATCCCAGGACCCTGGGATCATGACCTGAGCCGAAGGCAGATGCTTAACCATCTGAGCCACCCAGGTGCCCCTTTGTTGGCATTTCTTAAAGTGTAACATTTGCCTAAGATATTTGTTAAGAGAAGTCAAGAGCAAGCCATAAATGAAAAGACCACACTGATATGAATATCTCAAAGAAATAAAAGTACATGGCTTCTGAAGGCATAAACCATGCCAAGGGTTTAACCAGTTGTTTGTTGTTGTTGTTTGTTTATTTGTTTACAAAAGGAAGCCTATTGATACATCCTACCACTAGAGTTAATCTGCAGATTTAGAAATCTGGATTAATGGGACACAGCAGTTTAAGAACACCTCTTACAACTGCATCATCAATATGGCACTGTGTAATATTCAGGTATCAGTTTCAGTGTGTTTTCACTCTTCAAATTTTCTGAGTTAGTTGCTTTGTGCAACACCATAAAATGCTAAGTAGGGATGAGAATATGAACACATAATCACATGGAGCCAGGAGGCCGGTCGTGATGCACATG